AGTCTAGAGTTCACATGATGTGTTAGGCACCATAGGTGGAAAACCTCTGACATGAAAAACATATCCAGTCTCGATACAAAATCTCGGTAATCGGAAAAAAGCATCAGGAAAAAAACAATCGGAAAAAAAATCAATTTTTGCAAGGAAAACTAAAGTCAAAATCTCAGTTCCTCTCTCCAGTCGGAACTTGCAAAACACAAATGTGATCCCATATGTGTTATGAACATCCTAGTTATCATTAACGTGGATATTACATGACACAATTAAGACATGACAGCCTTTCTATAGTCTAAAACATTGAATAGAAATGTTGATACATTTCCTAGCATTTGAGAATTGTTCAAACCCAGTAGAGCAATACATTTGTGAATGTTTGGGTGTCTAATATAATAATAAGACAGATATTTTTCTCTTATTGTTGAATAAAATGGACTTGTGATAAGTAGATGAAGAAATCAAACCCAGATTGCAAAATGGATGTTTATTATACAAGAATGTTATAGATGTTATAGTACTGTGTCCTGCACACAATGTTATGTGTCTTAGCAATAAAAAGCATTTAGAAATATTGTTCATGTTGTTCAATTATTGTGTCTGGTGTATCTGTCCGGTGTATCAGGCAAATGTCCAAACTCCTCTCACAGTAGTTTAAGGACAAATTTGGATTGCAAATTAGATTTAGTCTCTTGTTGATAATGAGACAGTTGACAATACGAGAGGCCACCATGACCGTCTTCTTATTACCTATGCCCGCAATATCATTACAAGTTTTCTATAATATACACTCAATTCTGTCCAGTCCTGATGGACATCGAACACCCGGTGTCATCAATAATTATACGGAAGCATGAAAAGATATGCGTAGATATGGTCCGAATCGATCAATGGAGATTTGTTTCCACGGAATTGTTTCAGTAGAAAAATAATTATTATTGTGAAAATTGATTTGTCATATATAATTGTAAAAAGGGATTAAATGAATATTAGTAAGTGAAAACATATTACAAATTTCGAACAAAGACTTTTGTATCTTATCTTAGTATTCCCTTGCATCATTCACTTAATGTCAGGAATATCGGAGTTTGTGACACATTTGCATATGTATTCGGCATTAATCGGATATACATGGACTTTCAATATCTATGACATCGTCATTACAGAAAGTATGTAAACACATTTCATCATATGACATAAGAGCTATCATCGTTTATCCATGCATTTTGGATTTTACACGTGACATTTGACATGTGACAGTCTTTTAGTGACTTTGCTCTTTTAAGATATGGTTAGTCAGACTTTTGGTAAGTGTGGTACTCGCTTGATGTAACTTCGATCGATACACATGATCGATCTCCCCACTGTTTTATTTGTTACCACTCTGTCACGCTCACTGACGGTGGTCTGTCGCTACTCAAATCCAGAAAATCACGTGATCGATGTTGATTTCAACAACGGCTCCCTTCCTCGGCGGATCAGTAACACGCTGTGTACCAAGTCCCGCCCACAACCTTTCATATTTTATCGCTGTTACGGTGGGCCAAGCTTGGCGGGCGATTATTTTAACCCGGAAACCCTACCGAGGGAGAAATATGAAAAGAACACCACTTCAACAATTGATCTATTGCCGTTGCTTATCTAACCATACTGTGTGCGGTAAAGCGTCATGTATAGTTCAGTCAGCACATTTCCGTCAACCGTTCAATAAACGTTCAACATAAGCATATCAGGTGTATCAGAGAATTACATTATACAAAAATATACTCAACATCATTGAAAACGCACCACCTGTAAATTTTGAAATATTGTAATAGGATTGTTTTGAGAGTGAAAATGAACGTTGGAAATGTTGTGAGTAACACAAAAGACAATAAATAATGCTGTACAGTAAAGAACGTATTGCCCGGACACATCATGGAACACATCACATTACAACAACAAAATTCATGCACAACACACACGAAAAGCACAAATTGCATGCGTAAAACATGCTGATTAGGGGTATAAATGACCGTCGGCAAAAAACCGTTCTCATTTTAGCTGTACCTCCGCAAGTAAGTTTATTTTGCAATGCCAAGATTGTCACCAGAGGAACGAGAACGGGCGTTGAGCATGTTGCAGGTTGACACATCAAGCAGGATTATTGCCAGACGATTTGGTTGCCATCATTCCACCATCATAAGACTTGCCAACAGGTACACACAAACGGGAACCACCAGGGACCGCCAACGTCCTGGCCAGGCACGTCTTACAATTATAGGCATGATATTATGGTACTTGCTACAATAATATATATACAATTGACATTATTAATAACAGGTGATTAAGAGGTAATAAGATACAAATTATGAGAGGATTTAATAATATATTTAAGAAATGAAGTGATTAATAACGTTGTAAGGTAGGAAATCAGTAACGGAGGTTATAAACATGAAAGTAGGTCGTTAGAACTGATGGGTCAAGGCGAGGTGACTCATAGCTTAGGTAGGGGGAAAACTACTACCTTAGTACCAGTTCTTGGTATTCTACAAGTCATATATGGTTAGGGGAGAGAGACTGAGATTCCTGGAATCCACCTTACAGTCTTACAAATATAGTATTGGGGTAGGGGAGAGTAATACATTGTCAGGTTATGGGTTATTGACCAATGGAAAAAAATGGAGAAGGGTGTTGGCTGTGACGTAGGAACCCAGCTTTAAGCTGAAGCAAAGCTCAGAGACGGGAGTCTGGTGCTAGCCTACTCTTGATGTTTGGTCACTAGGAATCGTCTTAGAAATTATCTTGAAGCACCAGTATTTGGCTTAAGACTGAAGATTTGCGGCTGAAGTCTTATAGAGGAGTGAACATAGAGTGGGTTGACCAGCAACACAGTGTTATTAAACTATTGAACGCAGATCATCGTCTTGTGATTGCTGGAGGAACTACGGTAAAGTTCCAAGGGCCCCCAGGTACTGACACTGTACCTCTCGCACATCCCTTATCGTCAGGACCGAAGTACGGGGGTATACCGTAGTTCAGGTAGAGATACGCCATCGCAGGTGTGGGATATTGACAGGTAAATACCATCTACCTGCCAGGTAAAGGTGCTGTCGGAACGCCTTGGCAATTACCACCCTTTGCCAAGATCGAGACACTGTTCGGCGTCATATTCGGGATCGTACGTTGCCGGCTGCCAGAACCGCCAACGCTGTCCAAGGCTGACGTGGTTTGATCAGTGCTTCCACCGTCCGACGCCGTCTCCGTGCGGCAGGATTACCCTGTCGACGCTCTTATGTTGGACCCATCTTGACTGATAGACATCGCTGTGAACACCGACGATGGGCTGAACAGCATCGTTTGTGGTTGTTACGACGTTGGCATGGTGTTGTGTTCTCCGACGGGTCACGTTTTCACTTGCGAAATGCTGACGGGCGTCTACGGGTATGGCGTCGACGGGGAGATTGTTACCATCAGGACTGTGTTGTGCAAACAGATCGGTGGGGTGGAGAAAGCATTATGGTGTGGGGAGGGATCAGTTATCATCACAAAGCCGCTCTAGTAGTTTGTCGTGGCAGAGTGAATGCCCTTTACTACCGTGACACCATTCTTCAGAATAACGTCGTTCCCTTCTTTAAAGAACACCAAGATCTGCACACATTCCAGAAGGACAATGCTCGAGCGCACACTGCACCTGTTGCAACACAGTTTCTGGCAAACAACAACATTCCTCTACTTCCATGGCCTGCATTGTCACCAGATTTGTCTCCCACTGAACACTTGTGGGATTACATCGGCCAACGCCTCTCACGTCGCCCACACATCAACAATCTTGGGGGAACTTGAGAATGCCTTGCAACAAAAGTGGAATGCATTGCCTCAAAACATAATTCAGAGATTTATCAGTTCAATGAGGAGACGTTGCACCGCTTGTGTTGCTGCTAACGGTGGTCATACCATTACTGACTTTCCAATTTGACTCCATCTTTCTTTCATGGTCAGCTGAATTAAAACTTCAAAGTTTTGCTGGATTGGTTCTTGTTTCTTTTCTTTACCAATCATTGGACTACAAAAGTATGTAAAATTAACACCGATTGCTCATTTATGCTCTTGGAAATCCAAACTAATACAGTTTGTGCGTTTTCAATGATGTTCAGTATATAAAAAAGGGGATGTAGAATCGCATCCACAGTGCCTACCCGATCACCTTAGCCCTAAAATCGCTCTATACAACGGCACCCTTGTCAGATAGAGTTAAGCTAACACATCGAAGGTCCAGTACAGTTATATGTAGGTAGGCTATGTCTATATTCCACGATGGTCAAATTACGTCCATGACACATACTCACAACTGGTCATCAATTATACACATTTATCGTCAGTCCTTCGGTCAAGCTAAATGACATAGTCCTGCCGAGGTATCGCCTCTGAACTTCACAATAACAACTTTATGGTCTGTTTAATCAGTAAATGTGATTATCTTTGACACCTGAAACGGCCTGTATTACAAACTGATTTCTTTAAACACCTAGTTCTGTGTTATTTTGTGGTTGTAAATATCGGTACGTCTGCCAAGTTAGCTGATTCCCCAATCCTCGTTTGAATCATGGTGAAATGTACAGCTTGGATATGCCATTTTCACTCGAGTTGTCGGATATAGCGTCTGTTGTCCCTGCATGGCGGCAGTAATACCTCTTTATACCGCGAATATTCCCCGTGTACACAATGGTATCGATATATTCGACTGTGTTATTTCCAACATACATTCTTCATACACACCACCACCACTACTACTACCACCACACACACACAACCTAATTCCTAAATGACTTTCCCGAACAAGTTTGGATTTATAAAGTGTGATGAAAGAAGACCCTTCAATACGAGATGCATCTTAGATGGGAAAACGATACGAACAGTCACCACTCTCACACAGGACACAGACACCTACAAGCTAACCAACTGACAATCTGATACCGTCTTCACAATGGCACCATGTTCAACATCATGCCAAGGCTGTTTGTCACACCGTGGGTAGTTGGGCAAACAGGATACTACTGCTTTGCATTCACTGTTCTCATCATAACGTCATTTCTATTAAGAGCCGGTTTTCCCGTGCACATGAATTAACGTGTTTGGCGAATATAGACGGGAGACAATTCGGTGTATTCGTCGTCATCGTCAGTCTGCAGTGTGTTGTGAGACAGTTTCGACTGGTGTTATATGCGATCATTGCAAGGGAGGTAACCATGTCAGAACACACAGTGCTCGGTAAGTCCTATATACGCCGGTGTTGGTGGTCACGATGTGCATTGTGTTTACACAGAATGTACATGACAGATGCATCAATAATAGTAATCATACTAACTGTATATACATACACAATACTTTATCCAGTGATGCTCAGGGCTGATCATCGTTTTAATAAAAGGGAACTACTTAGGTTAGACTATTTACCGAGATTTGGTTTTGTGACATTGAATTATCTACATTGATGAAGAACCAATTCTGGTGACTTGTTGTATAATTTATATCCCTCTCAATTTCGGACGAAAGGAATGTTTCAGAACTTGGAAATGTTTCTGTTCAAGGTAATTAAGCTGATATAACGAGCAGACCCGTTTGTAGCTTCATACACTATTATGGATATCAGTATTCTTGCGTATGATGAGAGATACCTGTATGGTATAGAGAAGTGCTGCCTACACACATCCGTGTTTCTCACCAACAGGGATATATAAGTAGTATACATGATTACAAAGTAGTTATACAATACGGTCAAGGTGATTACAGTGTAGGTTGCTTTAATACATATAGGCATATTAGAAAACAGATCAGAACATATCCAAAACGAAATTAGGCTGTTTGTTTGGCTCCTAGCAACGTTGAGGTTTTCACAAGACTCAGTAATTAATATTCCAGCAGCAATAAATAAAATATTGACATAACCATAATTGTTTACATGACAAGTGAGGTCTCGAAGTTCGGATAACTCGATATATTTTCTTGGTCCCATGAATATCGAGACAACGGTGCTCGAATGTACATTTGTATTTCGTATTTTTCCCCAGCCCAGGAGTCCTTGAGTCTACTGCCAAACCCCCAGCAGCACCAGGTTCAGGAGACCACAGGGCTACAAGATGAAGGCCTCTGCAAGGTCTGTCTGGAGAAGACCAGTTGCGTCCTGTTTCTACCGTGTGCCCATCTGGTCACGTGCATGGAGTGCGTGCCTGCTTTGCGCAAATGTCACGTGTGCCGAGCATTCATACGTGGAACTGTGAGAGTTTACAATGAATGAGAATTTGTTGTGAATCTTCAACAAGCCTCATTATAACTGACTCACAAAAACGTTATTTCAGAACGTTTGCGTAAATCCTTTAACATCGTTCATGTATTAATCTTCAGGTTCATCAAGGTATTTTTGTGCATTTAATTCAAAATGAAATAAATGTCTTCAGTGTGACCTGGATGTTTGCTAAATGAAGCATACATGCATCAGTTGATTGTACATGCTGGCGATATAATGAAGTAGTAAAAAATAACATCCTTTGCTTGTTTAGGTATAGTGTGTTTCCGATGACAATTCGTCTTACAGTCTTATAATTAAAGTTTTGTTTCACCCAATTAATGAACGAATCCTACTTTCCAGATCTTGATTTGCCAAAGCCAGTTCTTTTGTGTGCAGACGCTGATATTCAGCACGTCGCATCTTCATCCTAGAAAATGACTACAACGCCAACTTGTTAAATTTCAATACCCGCGAAAACCATTTCAAACTTCTGTGTGTGTATTCTATGTGAGGCTTACAAACCGACAAACGAAGCCAATTGGGCTTATAGATATTTATGAGTGGTCATAAACAGTGTATGTATGCTCTTAAAAATGTAGGGGAACCTGAACTTTCAATTTAGATAGGACATATAAGTGTTAACAAACTTTTCAAAGGAAGACATCGTATCTACGCACAGCCATTTCACACCTAAACATGTTAGTGAACGCTATGTATTGTCCTAGCTATCCCTAAACACAACGGATGCACATGCACAGCGCAGTAGCCCCATACACGTGCATGGGGTGTCATTCTTGATTTTGACGGTTTTCAAGAATGTCGATAAATCACTGTAGACCATTTAATTTTGACAATCATCTTCCATCACACAGTTGTTAGTGTTTGTTTATAGTAGTTTTGTTTGTTTCTTGAAAATGACAATGGTACACATGCAAATTTTACGTCATACACCAATCATCTTTCAAGAGCGATTACTGTACAAACAACTATTGTCATAAGGAAGTGCAAGTGGTGATACACTCTCAAAACATTCATTATCAAAATATCAACACTGAGTGACTCCGATATATCTCCCATTTATTTTCAATCGTAAATTAAAAATGAAGACCCCTACTTTTTTTAAGGGTATATAAATAAAACTGGGGCGGCTAATTTGAACCATCTGCCCATACACAATGCCGGTAGTTAGAGGTTTGGTATTTTACAAGCCACATTTTCCACGCCAGATGTCCATCGACAGAAGGTGCATGGCAGTACTGCCAGTAGTAACGATATTGTGTGCACCAAGTTATAGACCAAGCTGCAGACCATCTGCGTGGAGGTGTTGTTAATTTTTAGCTACCACCTGTTTCATTAAACTGTACATATCAAATTATGTGTGATGTGTTTTGACGATCGCTGTAATTGTATAAGTATAAGCCCAGGCTTGAATAACATGTTATCCAAAAACAAGGAAGGGTAATTAAGTTAGGTGATAAACAAGCAACATTCCTGGTGACTTTCGATATAAGTGTCGTGAAATGACACATCTGATTGCATTCGAAGTCTTAATGTCATGTCATATGATTGCACGATAGTTATAAAGTTAAGTGTAAGTTACCTGAGCACCGGCGTGAAGGTTAACTCGTTAATAGCTCTCGCGGTGTTGACCTATTTTTGCATGCACACGCCTTTGGTTTCTATACATAGACGTATGTATGGAATACTGTAAGGGACATTCTCGCGATCTCGCATTCTCGCGATCTCGACCTTTGGAAACAAGCTAAAAATGCCAAAATTGCGAGAATGCAAGATCGCGAGCACACGAGATTTGGCAAAAATATCGCGTTCTCGCGATCTCGCATTCTCGTGTATTTGGTACATAGCACTTTTTGTCAAAAGTCGACAACGCGAGTGTGCGACATTTGTACATGCTGTCAAATCTCGCAAAATAGATAAAATGTGTCAGTGCGCGCGTGTCTCTCAATGTGAGAGAGAGAGAGAGTGTGTGTGTGTGTGTGTGTGTGTGTGTGTGTGTGTGTGTGTGTGTGTGTGTGTGTGTGTGTGTGTGTGTGTGTGTGTGTGTGTGTGTGTGTGAACAAGGATATGGAGCTGAGGGAGGAAGAATCATAATTAGGTGGCATAAACCTGGGATTCAAACCCACGACAGACGCATGTCTGTACTACAGTATATACCGATGCTTGGTGGCACTCAGCCATTCGTGTCCTTTCTGGCATGTGTCTTACACCGCTTTCAGTAATATCACGACGGGAGTTACCCAAATACACCCACTTTGCTACGTCAAGAATCGAGCCATCGTTACTGCAGTAACAACTCCGCTTGAAGTAGTGAATATCTAATGAGTGATAACGCGGTAGTCACGTGACATGAAACGAGTGTTTCCGTGAAGTGTGTAGCTGCTTACAGCGAGAGGGAGAGAGAGGGAAGCATATGCATACATTGCTACACGGATATCAGTCACAATGCAACGTGCCCGTACAACTGAAGGGAGACAACCCTGCGTTGTGTTCTCGTGTCGATTAAAACAAACTACATGATTACTTTTACTTCATCGGTTGTGTCATATAAGTCGCCATGTTGTGAACAAAAAGCAGGGGAACCTGAACATTCAATTTGGATAGGAACTTCAAGCGTTAACATACTTTTCAATGTCTTATTTCTCTTTATCACCATCCCTAAACACAACGCATGGGATGCACGTGCACAACCCATCATTCTTGATTTTGGCGGTTTTGAAGAAGGTCGGTAAATCATTGTAGACCATTAAGTTTGATAATCACCTTGCATCATAAATTTGATGACTTCATCACAAAGTTTCAGACCAACTTGCATTTGAAATACTTGTAAATGTTCCAAAAATCTTCTGTAATCAGTTAATTTATTTTCTCACCGTTGTTAGTGTTTCATTTCTAGCCGGTTATTTTGCATTTAATGAAAATCGTACACATGCAAATTTCACGTCATACACCAATCGTCTTTCAAGAGCGATTGCTGTACAAACAAGTATGGTCATAAGGAAGTGCAAGTGGTGATGCACTCTCAAAACATTCATTATTATCATATTAACATTGATTTGCTTCGATATATCTCCCAATTGTTTCAATCGTAAATAAGAATGAAGTTCTCCTACTTTTTATACATACAAAGTGTCATGGTGACTTCATAACAAAATATAATATGAATGGCTTGCAAGGCCAGCTTTCCAGTACAAGATGTTTTAATAGAGTCTATACATATTGGTAGTTGAGATGGCAGAACTTTATGCATGATCAACTTCTTTATTGTAACAATGGTGACGTCGGGTCATCCATAATGTTTTGTCATCTCTATACCACCAACTTCTAGAATGCCACTCAAACAAGTTGGTAGTTAGTTGTCTGATGTTATCTGCAGACAATCGTTTACTAGTGACAACAAACAAAGGGAGAATCCTCGGAATAAGCAGTGTAGGGTAGCAGTGAGTGAGTTTAGTTTTACGCCGCACTAAGCAATATTCCAGCTATATGGCGGCGGTCTGTAAATAATCGAGGCTGGACCAGACAATACAGTGATCAACAGCATGAGCATCGATCTGCGCAACTGGGAACCGATGACATGTGTCAACCAGGTCAGCGTGCCTGACCACCCGATCCCGTTAGTCGCCTCCTACGACAAGCATGGGTTACTGAAGGCCAATTCTAACCCGGACCTTCAAGGGTCATGTAGGGTAGCAAATATGGAAGAAAAAGAAAGAGGAGACGCCAGATACAGTTATCAGGTTAAACGATATATAGATAGCATTCGTACCAACATTTGTATTACGAATACATTGTGTATAGTTAACTAAACGTTAACCGGGTATCAGTCCGTACAACTGGGGTTTCTTGGCCTAGGCTGAGTATCCAGGGTATGAATGATCTCCACAGAATTACTGGTCTTCATATAATTTGAGATGTGAGCTGCGAGACAAGAGATAGCTCCACTTACATACCTAAGGAATTTATTCCGGAAGATTTAACTGAATTCAAAGGCGCATAGTGTTGCAATATCCAGTAATACTTTCTCAAAATCTGTCTAAATAAAGACCAGGGGTTGAGCGTTAGTGTGTGTGTGCATGCATACATGTATGAATATAATATATGTATGTAACACATTTGAAATCGGTTTCAAAGATTTTATTTGCTTTTTGTTATAAGTAGATAGAATTAAAGAATAAAACACCAGATAACAACGTGTTTTGGATGCCTATAGTTGAACCTTCACTAGCTCAGGTGGTGGGATATCATTAGAAAGAAGAACTTGTTATCCTCTGTCAGGTTTGATAGTCGGAGAGACACTCACCAATCCCACTTCATCACCTCAGCTTCTATACCTTCCCAGCCTATGGTGCAACGCTCGTTGCACGTCCACAAGATTCTCATCAATGATGCAATCGTTGCTTTACGCGAGTTCTTCTGTTTCCACATAGTGAATGCGGCAACAACTTGAAGCGAGATAGATCTTGGGTTTTTGGCAATTATACCTTCTCGACTGATTTTGGAGATTTTCATTTCTGCTGCTATCAGCTCCCATTCAGCACCGACGTGTGTTGCAATACTCCCGATGAGTTTGTCAGAAACGATCAATTGTTGGCGGTCATGAGACTCTCCCTGGAACCATTCTTCAACCCCACATGCAAAAAGAAGACAACATCAGAAACTATCTAATTGGTATTCTCCCATACTTGACTTGAGTATACCATATGTTAAAATGACCTGATAGTTTTCTCATTTTGTACCACTGTCTATTTATAACATTTGCAAGGATGAAATTTAGTTAAGTACGCTCAAGCTAAAAATGGCTGCAGAGGCTGAGGCCCCAAGTGTTCTTGAAACATGGGTAAAATCAGAGACCATATACCGATATATGGTCTCTGGTAAAATATTCTGCTTTGTTTGTTTTTGTGAAATAATTTAAGTTTTTTCCAGGCACTTCAAATCTGTGTTTTTTCACATATCAAACTAGGCTGAGATATACATGTATACTGGTTTCACCAGTATTGGGCTAGATTGTGAGATATTTGCGTATGTTGAGATAGATCATCCATGGTGAAAGTGTACCAGATACGAAACTTGTTTATTGGATAGAGATAAAAACATACCAGGTAGGTCTTCCTGATCTGGCTTGCCTTCGCCTCCAGTTGCCTCTTGACGAGATACAGTGCGATTGGTGAGGTTTTCCTGCGTAAGGGTATGTAGTTCATCGGTAAGTTCTCGTCTAAATGAAGTAAGTTTGTTGAGGAGTTCCTCCTTACCCTCTGTCTGTTCCTGCCTCAGTGACTGCATTTCCCTCAGTATCTCTTGATCGCTTTTGGAAAGTGTGTTAAGGATTTCCTCTTTTCGCTCTCTCAGGGTCTTTATTTCATTCAGAAGCTCTTGGCGCTCTATGTCGTCCGGTTTAATGTTTATGGCCAAAGTCAATGTGTCTTCTTTCAGACCCAGGTCATTAAATACCGTCTTAATTTGACGCACATGCTCTTCATAGTCATCCCGAGACAAACTTAAGCTGGTATTATGAGCATATTTGTTCCGTAAGTTTCTCAAGATGCTGACTTTGTCACTGTACTTATTGTTAATTGTTCTCATGAGGGTGTAGTCAATAAACGCTCTACACAAAACTGTCATATCCCAGGCCTCCACGTTGCCAGTTTTAATTGTATTATCATATCGTCCATTTTCTGACTTTGGTTTGTGATCATTAAAAAACGATTCCCCTGAGGTTTGGTCGTCCTGCCATGGGTTACTCTTCTTCCGTTCCCATAACGTTTTAAACAGCTGACGTAGTTCAGGGGCTATGGCCTTGTTGAGAATCCTTAATCCCTTGTAGTACAGGAGCTCTTCCTCTGATATACTCTGTGGACCCTGGAAAAGATGTATAACCATAGGTTAGTAGAATACACTCAACAATACAATGACAAACTTTAAAATAACATATTCTCTCGTGTTTATCAATTTTGATAAAAAATTGCATGCAAATATATTATTCTGTTTCAGATACTTCGAAGTCGGCTTCAACCGATTGTCAGTTTCAGAATATTTAATGACACCTCTAACAAATCCATTTTCAGTTCCTAAAATATATGGTGGTCAGGGTATAACTTACGGCCATGTTTTCCTCAACGTGTCTTGACTGAAACCTGAAATGATAATACAGTGGCAGTATTATCAGTATCACGATATATCCTCCCCCTTTTGCTGCTCATCATCATTATCCTCGCCATCATTTTCAATGTGGCACAGGGAAACATTCCAGCTTCTGTAAGCTGGAGCTGAGCTGGATATTGGCGCTATACAAATATAATATAATGCCTTTAGTTTCTTTATTCATATGAATGTGAATGTAGGGCATCGGCCCATAGTACAACGTTATACATTGGCAGCCTTCAAGCTGTAGGACGACGATTGTTAGCATAAAAAATAAACAAGGCAAGATATCTTAAAACCAGAGTGAGTAGCATTACTCATCAGTCGATTTAATTTACACAAGGTTGGATGGGTGAAAACATCGACAGGGATAAAACGTTTCCGTAGATCATCATAGGCAGTACATATCAATAAGAAGCGGTACTCATTTTCCACATAGTTACAGGAACACATTTCACACTATCTTAAGCTTTTTGGTTTATTTATATATCTACCAGTTTCTATATTCAATTGGTGTGAACTACACCTGAACCTCGCTAAGGCAATACGACATTTCTTGATAGTTATGCAATGGAGATATGGCTCAACACCAAAAATAAATTTAAGTTGAGAATATAGGTAAGTTTTTGAGCCATTAGACAACGAGGAATGCCATTCCTGTAAGTATATGTTTTGGACTGAATGGATATGAATTCAGAAATAAAAAGGTTTATACTAAGAATAAATTGATTTTCCCATACGTATCCAAAACCCATTGTATACAATAAGTTTTTTAATTTTGATGTCCAGTTAATTTTACCGTTTGGAGCATCTAACAGTAATAAATTGTAACATTTCTTAGGGAAACGTATGGAAGGCATATTCAACACTTTGTACCAATACATAGTACAACGTTTGTACGCAAAGATATACATAGGGTATCTCCCGAATTCGTCACGTACAACGTGGTTAGGGGTACTTAGTTTAACACAGAGTAAGTATTTACAAGCTAAGCACTGTTTCAATCGATGAATTACAATCACAGTCTAGACCCCATACTTCGGCAACATACAGCAAAATAGGCAGTACTTTAGTGTAAACAATTCTGAAGAAACCATCACATTTCCTGTGCTCAAATTTGTATAAACTTTTCAAAATGCCGAACAAAAGCCTTTTAGGATTGTAAAATAGCGCTCTCAAAATGTTTATGCCATGACAATGTTTGTGAAAATACTATTCCCAAATATCTATATGAAGAAACGCACTCAAATAATTTACCTCCTAGATACCATTTTTCGTGCTTAGTAAGGATGCTACCATTTCTAAACACAACAATTTTGCATTTATCTGAAATGACATATAGCTTATATTCCTTGCAATGCTGTTCAAGGACATTAATACGTTTTTGTAGCCCATAGATGGTGTTATGGAATAGAATGATATCATCAGCAAATAGAAGGAGAAACAACTGAGTTAATTCTGGTTGTAACTGTATGCCCGGGTAACACAACGATTCTATACTATCAGCTAAATCGTTTATAAGAAAGGAGAACAAGAAGGGACTCAAGACACATCCTTGACGAACTCCAATATTACAGTCGAACAACTGTGAAAAAGAATTATTGACTTTAGTGCAAGATTTAACACAGCTATAGATGGATTTGATGCAACCTAGCATCTTGGGTGTTAATCCTTTCTGTTGCAAAATTAACCATAATGTCGATCTATTTACCAAATCAAATACTTTCGAGAAAGCATACAACTTACCCTTTTCGATAGAATTCTCTGTGTAATAGAATGAAGAATAAAGATGTTGTCGGCGGTTGAGTATCCTGTTCTAAACCCTGCCTGTGCCTCGGATATTTTAGCATAAGCTTCAGTCCAAAATATAAGTCTGTCGTTAATCACTGCAATATAAAGTTTGCTAAATACACTGAGAATAGTAATTCCTCTATAATTTGAAACTGAATCACGATCTCCCTTTTTATGAATAGGGATAATAAGACCAACCGACCACTGAGCAGGAAACTGACTGACTGACTGACTGACTGAATTTGGTTTTACGCCGCTTTTAGCAATATTCCAGCAACATCACGGCGGGGGACACCAGAAATGGGCTTCACACATTGTGCCCATGTGGGGCTGAGCAGGAAACACACCATTATCAAAGATCATGTTGAATAAAACTGTTAAATACGGAACAAGAATATCAGAAGAAAACTTGAAAAATTCAGAAATTAACTTATCATCACCCGCAGATTTAGAGCACTTGAGGGTATTTATGGCAATATAATGTAATACAATACAATACAATATAATATGTAATTGTTTTCTGATTATGTTTTGGGTTATACATGCGCACAGCAAGCATACACACACAACCACAAACAGACACTGACACAAACATATATATACAAGCACACACATACAGATTTACACACACAGACACCACATACCTATACACACAAAACAAACTCACTTCAGTTAACAGGGAGTGACTTGGGCCGCGATATCGCGATTTTCTCGCATCAATTGCTATAAGTTCGCACTCAAATTTATCTGCAGCCATTTAAAATCGCATCCTGCTCAACTGTACGATTAGAAATAATAAAGTGTTTAAATCTGTTTTACTGAGAAAGGCTTTGTCGTTATTTTGTTCTGTCAAAGATATTCCCGTTGCTTTCTACCATAGGCGCCCGACTCTGATATATTTATAAGCATGACCTACATATATAAGTTATATCTTATATATATAAGTCATGCTTATAAATATATCAGATTCTGATATATTTATAAGCATGACCTACATATATAAGTTATATCTTATATATATAAGTCATGCTTATAAATATATCAGAGTCGGGCGCCTATGCTTTCTACCTAATTTTAATCTTCGAAACATAACTTCCGGTATTGAACTTCGAACATTGTTACACAGTGCTGTACATTCGTCACCACTCGCCCCTTTCCGTAACCCGCTATTCGGCTTGTCCTGGAATAACCCGGAGTTGGTCACGAATGGGAAGCGTTTGTCAGGACGAAACCGAGCCGAGCCGAGCCGGGCCGCTATTATGTTTCGACTTACTGACACACCTTTCTTATATCTTATTTATATAGGTCATGCTTATAAATATATCAGAGTCGGGCGCCTATGGTCTGTCCTTGCATTACATTGTATTATGGGCCTGTGGTCGCCATTTTCCATTTTCCTCATGTGATACGTGAGGATATACTGAAAGTTACCGCGTGAGTAAATACCGATAGAAGAAGTTGTTTAGGTAAGGTTAGACTGAAGCATCAGACAGAGAGTTGTTGATAGAAATACTAATATGTACAGTTACATACATACCTTAGGGCATTCGTGACCAACTCGTGTTATTCCGGGACAAGCCGAATAGCGACTCGTGCCCCTCTGGAAGGATTTCAAATTTGCGTAGGAACATCAGAACTACTTCAAACAGGAACGATAACTCTATTCCTGTTTGATTCCAATGGTACTTAATATCACCGAAGTACTCATACATTGTATTGCTGTTATTGTTTTTCTGTTTATTCTAAAGAATTAAACCTCCTTGGTACAACTAAAAGAAAGAAAAAAAAACATATTTGTTAAAGACATATTCTGACGTAATTATTACCAGATATTCACCTTATATTTCCAATTATATTTCTGAAAGGGTTTAATAATCACAAATGGGATTTGTTTTAATGAATATGCAATTAAAATTTGTAAAAAAAAACCCGCTACATTAAATCCCAAAGCAGAAACTAAAAAAATGACTTGTATAATATTTCTCAAACTGAACATACGTGTAACCTTGCTGTCATACCCCAAGTGGACTTTTAATTGAATTCGCTGAAAAATATATGAATGACCACAAGGTCAGACTAAAATATTCCAAGAGAATTGAAATATATGCCCAATGTTAAAGATTAAAGTTGATTAGTTACATACAGATATAATATTATTGTTTTGAAACTCGTAGCGATTTATAATTACATTTCCTAAAATTGTTGGAAGCGCACGTACAATCTCCATAGCAAGCCCGCAAGATCGTCAGAAACACTCTCAGTTGGACCCATGAGAGCCGTTATGTCAACAAACGCACGTGCGTGTATTTGAATCTCTCGTCGTCAATCGCATGATTCTTATCAAAAACACCATAATAGGCAGCAAAATCCTGTTAGCTACGTTCTTTGTACTTTCAATATGACGATATATATTTTTCATGATTTTTTAAACAATGACATAATGCCATAAACGATTTAAGTACTCAGGATTATTTTTACCAAAGCACCGCAGTCATTTACGCGCTTTCTGATTGGTTTGTCGTATTTTCGCACATAACAAGCATCGAGAGGGGACCATTCGTCACCACTCGCCCCTTTCCGTAACCTGCAAGAAGACTCGTCCCCAAACATAACTCCTAAACCAATGCTCCGAATCGCTTACAAAAAATCACACAGATGCGCACCGTTGAGTTGAGTTGAGTTGAGCTTTACGTCACATCGGCATTTTTCCAGCCATATAGTGACGAGAACAAGTTTGCATTAGTAAATATTGTAAGTACATACTCGGAATGAGTTTTATTTCAAAGACATTTATTGATTACATTGTCATTCAAAAGCAGAAAAAGTCATAGCATCAAATTTAAAGGCAGGCGGTTTGTTACATTTCATAGTTACAATTTACGGTTGTTACATTTCACAGTTACAATTTATGATACAGATCAACTTCTTTCAGGTAGTTCAGTATCTGATGGGCGCTCACGCGAGAGAACAGATCTTTTAGGTTTGTTGCATCATAATGTGAGTCCCTTGCAGGCGATAAGTCCACGCATTCAAGCAGAATATGCTTGACGGTGAACACCTCATCTCAACAGACACACATGGGGGGTCCATCCCCATCCGTTTTCAGCAGATAGTCATGTGTAAATCGACTGTGGCCAATACGACATCGTCGTAAAATTACCTCATCGCGTCTTGACTGACAACCCAAGTAGGTATAACCGATTGTTGGCTTCAATTCATGGAGTTTGTTTCTTCCTACTTGAGTGTCCCACCTTTTTTGCATCAGGTCCAGAGTATAGCTTTTGATAGTGGGTTTGAAGTCACTGTATGGGATTAGCAGTGGAGATAGGGGCTTTTCGAGAGCTGCTTTTGCTGCAGCATCGGCCTTAGTGTTACCTGCTATGCCGACGTGACCCGGCAACCAGCAGAGGATGATGTCATATTGGCCAGTAGAAAGGTCGTTGTACAGTTCTAATATGTCCAGGATGATTGGGTGACTTGAAGTCACGTTTAGAAGTGCTTGAAGGCAGGATAATGAATCTGTAAATACGATGAAGTTTTTGGACTGATTTTGCTGTCGGGGTGTAGATATTCCGCTTAGTATAAATGCACATTTAGTTTCCCCATGTATTGGTCAGTATATTTTACAATACAGGAAATGTCTTTGAGTGATTACTCCATATTTGAGAATATTTGGTCTTGCATTTTTGCCAATTGTGACTTGAAGATGCTGTGTGCTGCTTCGTATTTTGCTTACAGCACAGCAGAACCTCACCCCTGCATAAACAAGAACTAATTAACACGCATGTACTGTAGATCATAGTACATAATTTACAACATCCAAGACATCTAGTACAAAGTGTAATTAATATTGTCCAACAACCAGTTTTTATATATCACCCCACTAAAATAATGTTTTCATATTTTGATAAATAATTGTTTCATGATGAATATTCATATGGCTGAAGGTTTTCACATTTTTGTTTTGAATATCCGACAGTAGTAACCGAAATAATTGTAACCATGCCATCAAGGTTATTTTATATTATTTCGAGCTGTTGATTGATTTGTCACTCTATGACTTCTTGTGTGTATAAAAACGTCACCATAAATGGCAAAGTTCATATATTTATATTTCTTTTGAATAATGTTACAAGAACTGCTATTTATTTAATATATCATTATCAGTATATTTACAGCATAGCAAAGAAACAATTTGACACATGCAGATCCCTGTCATCTATCCAAAGTAAAATTTATAATGCTTTTTCTTTCACATTTGCATTCTGAGTCATTATGTCACCTGAACTTGCATACAGTTATCCACAGACTTGGAAGAGAGTCAAATTATATGTCAAGCCTACCAACTAGTTTACACATGCATTTTACGTTGCATAAAGCCAATTGTCTCCATTGATTATATCTATTATATAGTTCCTAACAAATATAAATATTGACGTGTAAAAAATAGTTTTAATTTTGAAATAGTTACTGAAAATGTTGCTACAGCATAGCAAATGTATTTAGAAAATAAATAACAAATTTAACAAACAAAAATATTCTAATTTGGAAATCACATACTATAATTGAAAATGGAAATGACAGAGTAAATGTGGCCAAATATTAACAGACCATCAACTCGATAAAGTTGGTAACACATGGCTCTTTTGTGAATAGCAGTATATTAATTATAATAGTTTTATTAATTCAAGAAATAAAGTTTACTCAAATACATTTTACGTTAACCATGTCATTGATTCCCGAAATATATTTTCTGACAAGCAACTTGGTACCAAGTTGGTACCAGAACTGGTTCTGCTTGTCACCGGAAATCTAGTAGCGGAAGTAGCGCCTCGCGAGACTTACGGGCCCTATAGATAGAACTAAAGACGAGGAGCCCTCATCGTTGCCGGCAACTATATTTTCACTTATATCTATAACATGTATTGTGTTACTTCAGAAACTGGAAAAATATTCATCCCATTCGATCCTTTCAGAAATGCATTGGGCGTTAGGGCCGGAAATGGGTGTTTGGGCCGGTAATGGGTGTTTTGGCTGGTGATGTGTGTCTGGGTCGGTATTGGGTGTTTGGGCCGGTGGTGGGTGTTTGGGCCGGTAATGGGTGTTTGGGCCGGTATTGGGTGTTTGGGCTGGTGATGTGTGTTTGAGCCGGTAATGGGTGTTTGGGCCGATGCTGGGTGTTTTGACTTGTAATGGTAGTAGTCTAACACGTCACTCTGGTGACATTTTCAAGATGGCGGCGCCCATGTGAGCCCTTTTTCAAGATTGCGGCAGTTCCTGTCCAAGATGGCTTCACGTCCGGTTCCGGTGTGTGCGCGCATCCCGATGACGTCACCTCCGGGCCAAGGGCCCTGTTCAAGATGGCGACCCATCCGGTGGGATCTCGCGGGATTTCGTGGGAGATCTCGTGGCATTTCGCGGGATCTCGCGAGCGTAGACACCATGCAAAGTGGCGGACGGACGAGCGGCAGACGGGAAGGAGAGGTAGGGAAGGAGAGAGGGGGAAGGAGAGGGAGGGAGGGAGGGAGGGAGGGAGGGGGGAGGGAGGGAGAGTGGTGAGAGGACGATGGCGTGGTTAGAGTGGTTAGAGTTAGTGTGGTTCAAGCATTGGATGTAGCATTCTTTCGAGCGAGGTGGGTGGCCCTGAAAAGGGCCGTTGGTATGGCATGTTTAACACTGGCATAGCAGATTAAGGCCTCGGAAGATAAATTTCCCTGGGCAGACATCATCATGTAGATGGTGAGCTCCCTTTCTGATCCCTTCCCCACAGTAGATACAGACGTAAAAGGGAGCTCCAGGGACTACATCGAAGCGATTGGAGGGAAAGGCTTTGAAGCAGGTTTGGCATATAATCAACCGCCAATTTGACGACCATGTTGGCAGGCTTACAGATATTGTCGTTGGTGGTGGCGGTGGTGGGGCTGTCGTTTCTGCTCCCGTTGGTGGTGGTGGGGCTACCGTTGTTGGTGGTGGGGCTGCCGTTTCTTGTGCTGCTGCTTCTGCTCCTGTTGTTGGGATCAGTGGTGGTGGGGCTGCTGTTGTACCCTCTTCCATGTTGATACCGGTCTTCACTTGTAAGCTTGGGCTACAGTGTAGACATTGCTTTCTACCGCAATTTTTTCGGTAAGGTGTTGGACCGATGGCTTCAGCTTTTCTTGTGTCCATGTTGCATAGGGATACTGTCACTTACAAATGCTGGAGTTTATATGCGGCTGGTCACGCTGTTGTGCTTGAAATGGAAGGGGTTCTTTTCCTTGCTGCCAGCAAAAGCATCATTGTCCACCAATCCCAACACCACTCGGTTGGGCAGCTGACCTCCAATCAGTTGATCTTTTTTGGAAATCGCGTCCTCCTCCTGAAATGTTGTGTGCTGTGACTTGAACTCAGGTCAAAGGATATTTGGCCGTGACTCCTGGTGACATGTGCTTCACGTGTTGTTCCCGTATGGAAGGATCAATGTTGACTTGGCGAACGTAAAACTCGGCTTTGGTCAGTTCAAATCGACACTCGGCATCTCCAGCA